CTCGCAGGTGGCCTCGCACACCAACTTGGGCTCACACAGCTTCAAGGCACCAGTCGTGTGAGCTCCGGGTCTTGGGGTTTTTGGGGTTTGGGGTTTAGAGCTTAGGTTTTAGGGTTTAGGGCTCTACCCCTAGACTCCTCAAAGCCCTACAAATCCTAGATAAGCCCTGTAAAGCCGTAAGCCCTCAAGCCCTAAAGCCTTTAAACCCTGAACCTTCTGCTTTATGGGTTTTTATGAGACCCTTTGGAGCGGGACCTCGAAGCCCCCAAATTCAGGGTTTAGGGTTTAGGGCTTAGGGTTTAGGGCTTAGGGCTTAGGGCTTAGGGTTTAGAGTGATGAAAAGAACTGGTGCTGGTAGAGGCATTCGGCTTCTGGAGCTTTAAAGTGATCTTGCTTGGGGGGGGGGGGGGGGGGGGGAGGGGGGGGCTTTAGGGTTGGGGTTTTAGGAACTCCTGGACCCTAAACCCTAAACCCCAAACCCCAAACCCCAAACCCTAAACCCTAAACCCTAAACCCTCTGTCTCGATTCGCAACCAAATCCGAGTAAGTTTGGCACTGCGCGGCATGTGAAACTGGGTGTTCGAGACAGCTACGCATAGGCACCGAGGTTGGCGCGTGCGCACCTGCAGATTGGGACGTCTGTTCTAGGTACAAGGCACACAAGGTTGAGGGTTTAGGGTTTAGGGTTTAGGGTTTTTAGGGTTTTAGGGTTTTTCGGGTTTTTTGGGTTTAGGGTTTGGGGACAAAGCGTGCGGCGGAGCCCCACGAGTCGAAGCGAAAAAGAAGCCGAAGGAAAGGCAAGCCCCTCCAATCAGAGCAGCGCGCTCTGCTTGGAGGTTAGCCCAGGGACTCCAATACCCCACCAAGGGTTGATTTAGGGTGGTTCCCGTACCCCTTAGCTAAGGAGCATTCCTCAAAATGTAAGAGGGTTTCTTATAATTCTGGTTTAGGCAATATTCCTTCTTAATTCTGGTTTAGGCAATATTCCTTAAGTAAGGGGTATTTGGAATCTCTGTGTTCGTGGCTGTAAGTATATGGTTAGAGCGACTCATACGGCACTCTGGGTTTTTGGGTCAAGGTTTGGAATCCTTTTTTTGGTAGCGAAAGCCGGTTTAGGGTTTAGGGTCTAGGGTCTAGGGTTTAGGGTTTAGGGTTTAGGGTTTAGGGTTTAGGGTTTAGGGTTTCAGCCAAAGTTTGGGCGTTAGTGTCGAGGGCTCCGGCTCTACAGTGTTAGATTCAGAGAGAGAAAAGGTGTTAGATTCAGAGAGGGGGGGGGGGTCTGGGACTAGCTAAACCCTAAACCCTTAACTCTAAACCCTAAACCCTAAACCCTTCTAGGGTTTAGGATTTAGGTGCTCTTAATCGGTTCCAGGTTGTGGTCATCGAGGAGGCCGGCGCGCTCTCTTCGGACGCTCAGGTGGGGTTTGCTGGTCACCAAAACCTTAATCCCTAAGCCCTAAACCCTAAACCCTACAGTTATAAACCGTTAGCCAACGTCAGGTAACACCCCGTCACAGCCACTTCGTGCTGGTCCTTAGTAGGGGCGATTTGGGCATTAGGTACCCGCCTACGGGCCTGCATGGAGAACCTTTAGGGTTTAGGGTTTAGGGTTTAGGGTTTAGGGTTTAGGGTATTCCCGACTTACCTACTAAGAACCAGGAAGGCTTGTGTATGTGTGCACGTGCGTTTCCCTGGAATGCTCGCTGGGCTCGGGCGCTCAAGCACGACCGCGAACTTTGAGACGCACCCCGAGATCTACCAGAGTTTAGGGATTAGGGTTCGGGGGCACGACTACTTGCTCAGGAATCCCTCAAAGATCATAATCCCGATATTGCCCTTGTATCGAAGAATATATATATATGTATATATCTATATATTGTATTATTATATATATATATACATACATATATACATATAATATGTAATGTTTTTTGATGTTTGTTTTGTTTAATGGGGGGAGGGGGTTCTGAACCGAAGAATAGTGCACGGTCAAGTGTCTAGGGTCCAGGGTAAAGGGTCTTTGTGCACCCCAAACCCTAAACCCTAAACCCTTGAACGTTTAGGGTTTAGAGTTTAGGGTTGTTCGATTGCAGACTTCAATATCTATAAGCTCCCGAACCCGGCGTGGCTCCGGACTCCCTAATACTCCCTACTACTCCCTAAGGCTCCCTAAGCTTTTTAAGGTTCCCTAGGTACCTACCCCCCTTGAACCCCTCTCCCTTAAGAACCCTATAAGTTATTGTCACTTCTCCTCGTGGCAGATGTGGTGTGCGTGTTCAGAAGAGAGACCAGAAAGACTGAAGCAACTGAGGAGGATGAGGAAGACTGGGGCACCTGGCGACATTTCATGGAATCCAAGGCCTCACCAACAGTTTGGGGGCTTAGGGCTCCATGCGAATGTCCATTCAGCAGCATCCTGGCCATGGTGATTGTCGGCCCCCAGGTGAGGGCTGCAGCTGCCCACATGGGACGAAGTGCTCGCAAGGGGACGACCAGGAGAGGGACCCTTATAAGGGACCTTAGGGGGGTTCTTTAGGGGTCATTTAGGGACTGCATAGGTATATAGGGACTACATAAGGTGTATACATATATATATATATATATTTACAGGGGTTACATAGGGGAATCAGATTAAGGGTCCCTTCTAGGGGTCCCTCTCCTTATACCCCTCAAGATGAAGTGCTCGCATGGGCACATTCCTCAGGTCGTCGTTCCTGTTGCGAGCAACGCCCTCTCTGTTAACACGACCTAAACTCCAGCCCACAAACCCTAAGCCTTAAAAACCCTAAACCCCAAACCCTAAACCCTAAACCCTAAACCCCAAACCCTCAAACCCTAAACCCCAAACCCTCAAACCCTCAAACCCTGAACCCTCATACCCTAAACCCCAAACCCTAAACCATGCACTACCAGAGTGAGATCGCCTGTCAGGCAGCTCTTCGTCGGACCATGGAGAAGTACATGAAGGCTCCTTTGAAATTTTGGGTTTAGGGTTTAGGGTTTAGGATTTAGGGTTAGAGTTTCGGGTTGTAGGTCAAACTTGACATCACTCGCGCCTGCGCGAGGTACCCAAATGCTCCAGACCCCAAAACCCTTGCCCAAAAGACCAGCCGAAAGGCCATAAACCTTGGTCGGGAAGAAGAATCCCACCGGCTCATCCGATGTTTGCCGCTTGGGATCTACTCCCACGATCATGAACCGTAGATTGCTTAAGGTTCAGGGTTTCGGGTTCAGGGCCCAAGCCCTAAGCCTGAACTCTAAACCCTAACCCTAAACCTGTATCCCTAAACCCCAAACCCTAAACCCTAAACCCTAAACCCTAACATTTCTGCCCCCCTTTACAGCCAGACTTGCCGCATCATCCTCCTCACCGACAGCGCCTCCAAGATCATCGCTCCTCTCAGGACGGTGTTTTGGGGTTTAGGGTTTGGGGTTTGAGGTTTGGGGTTTCGGGTGTGGGGCCTGGTATTTAAGGTTCAGGATTAGGGTTTAGGGTTTAGGATTGAGGGTTTAGGGTTTCGGGTTCTTAGTAGGGAATGAGGGAATGAGTGCCCTTTACATACCCTTTAAGGGGTTACATAGGGCCCCTGTTATTCCCTCAGGACTCAGGACCTACCGGATCTTCGGTTTCGGGGCTTTAGAGGGTTTAGGGTTTTCAGGGTGTTTGGGGGTGTTTAGGGGCTTTAGAGTTTTTGGAAATGAGGGAATGAGGGCGCCATATGTGCCCTTCAAGGGATGATGCAGGCCCCGAATTCCCTCATGCCCTACTAAGAACCAGGGAATTGGGGGCTTTCGAGGACGTTTAGGGGCTTTAGGATTTTTGGGCTTTCTAGAGCTTTTATGCGGGTTTTTTGGGGTTCGGGGTAGGGGCTTTAGGGCTTAGAAAGAGGCAAGGTCTTTTCAGGCTTGTGTCCACAACCCTAAGTTCGAAGCCCACAACTCCTACACAGTTTCTGCATGTTATTCCCAACAGCCGAAGGGTTGGGGAACCCTAAACCCTAAACCCTAAACCCTAAACCCTAAACCCTAAACCCTAAACCCTAAACCCTAAACCCGAAGGGAGGGGCGCGGGGGGGGGGGGGGGGGCACCCCGGGGCCCTCGGAACATAACGCCGGAACGGGAACGGAACGGAACTTAATCATCTTGGGTTTAGGGTTTAGGGTTTAGGGTTTAGGGTCTTGCTGGCTGCTGAGTTGCACAGCTGGGTTCATACAGTTTAAGGTTTAGTAGGGTTTAGGGTTGAGGGTTTAGGGTTTGTGGTTTAGGGTTTGGGGTTTGGGGTTGAGGGTTTAGGGTTTGGTAGGTCCATAAGTTCTCAGGACCTCAGGAGGCGCAGCGAGGTCTTTCGTACCTTCCTATGACACCTGGTTTTAGGGTTTGGGGTTTAGGGTTTAGGGTCTGGGATCAGGGCTCAGGGTTTAGCTTTCTTTCTCAATGGCCTGTGCCTTGACCCGGTTGACAGACATTGACCAACTTGCCGCATGCGGTAACTGCTTCTCAAAGATCTGACGGCAGGCGCTTCATATTCTTGGACCCGGAGTAGGCCCTTATTTCCTTTTTTTTGGGGTTGGGGTTCCCTTATAATCCCCATAAAGCCAAGAAGGGTACCCCTTTTTATTCCTAGGTTACTCCTGAGTCCATGATAATTCTCGGAGCCCTCAACCCTACTGTTGGGGCCTAGGCAATTACCCACGTTGTCCCTTCACAATCCTTACAAAAGTTTTAAATTGCAAGCCCTAAACTATAATAAACCACAAACCCTGAAGCTCTGTCATAGCGGCGTAACATGTTGCATTTTTAAGGGTACTTAAACTCAATAAGGAATAGAAGTTTGAATTTTTAATGCTATCCCAACCATGAACTAGGAAGTATCCCAAGCGAGAGCAAGCAAGTTTAAGGTTTTGGAGGTTTGTAGGGGTTTAGGGTTTAGGGTTTAGGGTTTAGGGTTTAGGGTTTAGGGTTTAGGGTTTAGGTGTCCAAAAACGTGAGCCGCGCTCCAATGGTTTCTGCAGGGGACAGGCATACAGTGCTTCTGCGCAGTGATGGACGCGCAATTGCCTGCGGACGCAATGATGAGGGACAATGCGACATTCCGCCTTTGGATGAGGGTGTGACATACACCCAGGTCTCTGCCGGTTCTTCTCACACAGTGCTTCTCCGAAGTGATGGCCGTGCCGTTGCTTGTGGACATACAGGTTCTGGAGAATGCGACATTCCACCGTTGGATGAGGGTGTGACATACACCCAGGTTTCCGCGGGTGGCGCTGGTCATACAGCCCTCCTCCGAAGTGATGGCCGTGTCGTTCTCACAGGAAAACCTTCGGCTGCCCTGGATGAAGGCCGGACATACACCCAGATTCTTAGTAGCTGAGTACACTTTACACTTTTTGGTATACTTCATCCCCTAGAGAACTGAAAGTGTACACTTTTGGGGGGGCTTCTGAACTCAGCAACTAAGGATTTCGGCAGCAGGAGGTCATGTAGTGCTTCTCCGAAGTGATGGGCGTGCTGTTGATTGCCTGCCTAATGGCTCGCGACCATGTGTCCCACTTTGCCAAATTCCGCCTTTGGAAGAGGGTGTGACATACACCCAGGTTTCCACAGGTGGACGTCATCTAGTAGTGCTTCTCCGAAGTGATGGCCGTGCTGTTGCTTGCGGACATGATGCTACTGGACAATTGCACATTCCACCATTGGATGAGGGTCTGATGTACACCGAGGTTTCCACAGGCGCAGGTCATAAAGTGCTTCTGCGAAGTGACGGCCGGGCTGTTGCGTGTGGCAGGAATTCTTGGGGACAATGCAACATTCCGCCTTTGGAAGCGGGTGTGACATACACGCAGGTTTCCGCAGGTGGTGATCACACAGTGCTTCTCCGAAGTGATGGCCGTGTTGTTGCTTGCGGAAGCAATCGTTCTGGACAGCTTAATATTCCATCTTTGGCATCTTGGCGTGATTGGTTGTGGTTTCCAAGCCTCCGCTACATTTCCGACTCGAAGGCGAGTGGTACAAAGCAAGATCGCATTCTGCAAGTCAGCTTTCTACAAGAAGGTGACTTGGTAGCCCAATGGTGCCCTTTTTCCCCTCTATCTTTCGTGTTAGGTTCCCTTATACAGCAATCAACCCCAAGAAGGGTAATTACCCTGATTAGAATACTGTTACTGGGCTACCCGAAACCCTAAACCCTAAACCCTAAACCCTAAACCCTAAACCCTAAACCCTAAACCCTAAACCCTAAACCCTAAACCCTAAACCCTAAACCCTAAACCTACCCAGGTGATGCCATCATTCTGATATGCTTTGGGCTGGATGGACTCGAAGCGTTGCGACTGAGGACTGCAGGGTCTGACCGTGCTATGGAGACCTAGCTTTCTTCTGGCTGGCTCTCAGGACCCTTTGAGGGTTTTTGGTAGAAACTACAAAAAAGGAGCCTAAAAGTTAACCCTAAACCCCAAACCCCAAACCCTAAACCCTAAACCCTAAACTCCAAACCCTTAACCCTAAACCCCAAACCCTAAACCCTAAACCTCAGAAGTTTGCCAAGGAGATGTCTAAGCAGCTCGCCCTTGAATTGGACACCGGATGGTCCCAGCTGCGCGTGGTCCTGCCGGATGGGCAGTTGCTACTAGGTTGTCCCCCTTTTTGGGGTTCAAGGTTCCCTGCTAAAGTAACACCAAGCCCAAAGAAGGGTGCCCTTATCTTGATGTTATGGTTACTGGGCTACCAAGTAACCCTAAACCCTAAACCCTAAACCCTAAACTCTAAACCCTAAACCCTAAACCCTAAACCCTAAACCCTAAACCCTAAACCCTACTGGGCTACCAAGGCTACGGGCAGCCTGCACTTCAGATCCAGCGGTCACCATGGCAGCGCTGTGTTCGAAGCATGGCGCTGCGCAAAAGTTGGTGCCAACGGTCGTTGGGGTTTGTTTGGCGTAACCCTAAACCCTAAACCCTAAACCCTAAACCCTAAACCCTAAACCCTAAACCCTTTTCCCTAAACCGTGAGAGTTTTCAAGAGAAGTGCGTGAAGGGCTGGGATTTTAGGCTCCCAATCGTGACATGAGAGGCAGCTTCATGCGACTCCAAGTTGCAGTGTTTAGGGTTTAGGGTTTAGGGTTTAGGGTTAAGGGTTAAGGGTTTTCAGAGTTTAGGGTTTGGGGGAGATGCGAACCCTGAGCCCCCTAAACCCTACACCCTCAACTATCGAACCCCTACGCCGCTCCGATGTTGAAAAGTACAGTCGTAAGCGCGTGCCAAGCCTTAAAAAGGGGAACCCCAAACTCTAAGCCCCAAACCCAAATCCCCAAATCCCTAATCCCTAAACCTCCCAACCCCCGAACCCTATACCCTGAACCCCCAAACCCCCAAACCGCCCAAACCCTCAATCCCCAAAGTCTAAACCCCTAGAAGTAGGTCTCATTTTTGCGGACTTCCCTGTGCCCTACATATGATCGAGGAATCGACGAGAATGGACCCCAAAAGGTTTCGGGTTTAGGGCAACGTCAATAAAAGGAGACCAAAAAGTGTCTTGGGCCAAAACTCTGACATAGCCAGACTTGATCTGTCGGGGGACCCTAAGAATATCGGGCCTATGTCGGTCACTCGGCTTAGGGCCTAGGGACAAGAATCGGATGCTGGGTCTTCAGGGTCTTGGGTTTAGAGCCCAAACCTCACCCACCCAGCAACAGAAGTACATTTGCCAGGAGCAGATGCTTGCCCATCCGAGTAGGCGCTGCAATCAAAGTTTCGCGGTCCCCTCCTCCTGGTAAAGACACCCCCCCACCCCGCTATGAGCTCTTTCATTCCAGTGAAGTACCGCACAAAAACCTAAACTCTGAACCTAAACCCTAACCCCAAAGCTGGGAAACAGGCTTTCTGAGGGGGAGAGAACGCACGTGGAGAGAGGAGAGTGAAGGATGGGTGTAGTACTGCAACAGTGAATGCCCAAAGTAGGTTCCTTTAGGGTTTGTAGCTATGCTTAGCCATCTTGGGGGGCTACTTAAATAATTTACCCCTAGACCCCGAGACCCTAAACCCCTGTCCCTCAACTCTACGCAAAACCCTAAACCGTGAACCCCATAAACGCTAAACCCGAAGCGATGCCCCTGACTTGGGGCACGAACCTTAAACAGCCGAAAGCCCAAAACCACCGACAGGGTACACACTACATGAGCGGCTGCTTCACCCCTGAAACATGCTTTAGGGTTTAGGGCTTAATGTTTAGGGCTTAGAGCCTACTGGCTTTTAAAACCCGAAAGCTCTAGACCCAAACGCCCGGTTCTGTTCTCAATTCAGAGGTATTTGTGCCTTTCTATCAAAGCCTAAACTCCAAACCCTAAACCCTAAACCCTAACCCCTAAACCCGAAACCCGAAACCCGAAACCCGAAACCCTAAACCCTAAACCCTAAACACCCAGACCCTAGACCCTAAACCCTAAACCTGTTCTTCGTCTGCAGCTCCTATATCGCTGTTGATGGCCCCAAGGTTCTCGTTAAGGTACAGTGCAAGGGCTCTTGTCCGAGCTACTCCTAAACCCTAAAATCCTAAACCCTAAGCATTACAACGTCTAAGCCGACCCTAAACCCTAAACCCTAAACCCTAAACCCTAAATTTAAGAGCCTCCGGCTCAAGCCGCCGACCCCGCTGGAGCATAGTTGAGAGGTCTAAACCCGCTCGCATGGTTCGAAGATCATCCCAGCCTGCTCGGCAGAGTTCTGTGAAACGTTTGGGGGGGGGTGGGGGTAGAAGGGGGGGGGGGGGTGGGGGTGGGGGGTGGGGGGTGGGGGAGGGGGGGGTTGGGGGGGGGGGGGGTGGGGGGGGTGGGGGGGGTGGGGGGGGTGTGGGGGGGGTGGGGGGGGGGGGGGGGGGGAAGGGGGGGGGGGGGGGGGGGGTGGGGTGGGGGGGGGAAAGAGGGAGGTTTTCACCTCCTCAAACCCATCCAACACGCCGCCAGGGTCGGCGGAACCTAAACCCTAAACCCTAAACCCTAAACCCTAAACCCTAAACCCTAAACCCTAAACCCGACGCAGGCGCGCCCACTCACAAAGAGATCTCCCAAGTGCTGCTGAAGGCGCGCCTTCGGTCGTGTCCCTCCAGATCTTACTTCGCCAAAAGAAGAACTTAAGGCTTTTGGGTTTAGGGTTTAGGGTTTAGGGTTTAGGGTTTAGGGTGACGTGAATATGTGCACGGGACTGAAATTCTCTTGGGCCAAGACTCCTACATAATCAGACCAGATCCGATCTGTCGGGGACCCTAGGAATGTCGGGCAAATGTCGGTCGTTCGGCTTAGGGCTTAGGGACAAGAATCGGATGCTGGGTCTTTAGGCTGTAGGGTTTAGAGCCAAGGCTCGTCAACCTAGCAACAAACACATTTGGGAGGAGCAAATACTTGGGTTTAGGGTTAAGGGTTTCGGTTATTTAGTAATAAAGGCTAACATTTTTTCCTTGGCTCATGCAGAAGTAAGAATTCAAATATCCCCCGTAATTCAGAAGTAGAGTTTAGGGTTTAAAATTCCATTATGGTTCAAAGGTTTAGGGCTTGGTTGTTTTCAGGTTTCAAATTTTAGGGTTTAATGCTTCGTTATGTAGAGGTAGGGTTTTACGGCAGGGTTGAGAGTGCGGGGTGTTAAGTTAAGGATAGGGGTCGTCTAGGCTTTAGGGCTTTTTCATGTTTCAAAGTTTGGACTGTTAAGGGTTTCAAGGGCATATTGGGGTCGAGGGTTTCGGGTTTAGGGTTATTTAGGGCGTATAGCTTAGCTAATGAGAACTAGGTAGGGCATTTGGATGTGTTCATATTTCTGACAGGGCTTGGGATAGGTGTTTGTTTGTGAATATTCGTCGGAGGTTATTCAAGGGCCCCCCCTACTTGTTAGGACCCCTGTAGAGTACGAGCTCCCCAGTGGAGGGGTTTAGGGTTTACGTTTAGGTGCGAGCATCCCGCTGAGCGTAAATCTGAACTCCTTAGCCCTACATGGGGATTCCGAAAACAGGCGTACCTTAGTGGGGTCCTTATTCTAAGGGGATCCTACTATTCGGGGGTCTATATTCGGGGTCACCGTATTTTCGTAAACCCCCACATCTTGAAGCCATAAACCTTCACTAACACCTAGTATTTGCTGAAGAACCCCCCAAACAATGAAAATATAGAAACTCCCTATATTACCCTTATAAGGAAGATTTGTTGGGGGGGTTCTTAAGCAATATTTCGTAGATAAGGGACCCCTAATACAGACCCCCAAATAGTAGGATCCCTTATAATACGGACCCCATTATCCTTTCCCATGCTGGGACCTTCTCCCCTGACTCTTACAGCATCCTCCGTCCTCGTGGGGCTGTCGGGCAGCCTCTTCGAATCGTTCCTCAGAGTGGCTGATACCAACAATGTCCCCATGAATGACGTGATGGATGTCGTGATGGCCCACATCCCAGCGAAACTTGCCAGCCAGATCCAGGGACACGCTGGTCTCCGCCGCGAAATTCCTCGCTGGACTGACGTTCTACTTGATGCGTGCTGTGACGGACCGTCCGTCAGAGCTCACCTACCTGCGTGGGCTGAAGCCACGGGGACTATGGGATGACAACGGCAGATGATCTCAGAGCCCTCGAGGCTGATTGTAGCAAACACTTCAGAATTATGGTGGCAAGCTTTAAGTTTTGAGGGTTCGGCTCTTCAGGGTTCTTGAGCAATTGGTAGTAACACCCTACATCCTGCACATTGAAGCCTGCCACCTTGAAGCCTACATCCGAAACCTTACTGTCTGAACCGCACACCTTGAAGCCCAAACCCCAATCCCCAATCCCCAATCCCCAAACCCCAAACCCCAAACCCTAAACCCTAAACCCATTGAAAGAGCGGCTCTGAAGCTGAGGTTGGTGCGGCTGAGCGGCTGAAGATGGCGCCAGAGCTTGCAACCAAGGTGCAAGCAGGGTTTAGGGTTTAGGGTTTACGGCGCTGGGTTTTGGTTTTTGGGTTTAGGGTGTTGGGTTTTGGGTTTAGGGTTTAGGGTGTTGGGTTTTGGGTTTAGGGTGTTGGGTTTTGGGTTTTGGGTTTAGGGTGTTGGGTTTAGGGTTTAGAGTTTAGGGTTTAGGGTTTAGGGTTTTGGGTTTAGGGTGTTGGGTTTTGGGTTTAGGGTTTTGGGTTTGGGGGTCAGTGTTGAGGGTGTGCTTGGACGTCGGTGGGTAGTTATAAGTGGGCTTAGAACCACCCAAAGTAGGGTTACAAGTACAGTTGCCTTCTTTTAAACCGATTTATAGCAACCCCCATGAACCTGCATGTAAGGATAGAAGGATCTCAGATCGTCACGGTTCGGGTCTGTCGTCAGTGTAGCTTATATACCTTGCGAGTGTCGTGTCCCAACCCCGAAAT